TACTGGAATGTGGTGGGATGATGTGCATGAATGGAATGTTACAATCAATGGTTATAACTATTTAGGAAGGACTGAGTGAGCAAAAGGGGAGGGGGAGTGGCACTCTATGTCCAATATGGCATTACCTGTTTCCGAGTCACTAATAACACAGCAGAAAATTATCCTGAATGCTTCATGGATCGACCTCCTAGCAGACAAAGCACAAGATGGGATACTAGTTGGTGTTAGCTACAGACCAACGAATCACCCCAGAGAACAGGATGACCAGCTCCTTTACATTTTACCTCCAACGTTGCAGAGATAATCTCATTCAGCACACTGAGGCAGGCACCTCTGTGCTCGCCTGCACCCTCTGCTGCAACAGCAGTTTACACTACCTCCCAGAGCGGAGGCATCAAAGCTTATACTCAAACAAGGACGTTTTTAAGCCACAATAATTTTGAGCTCTGCCAGAAACAGCGGGAAGTCTAAAATAAAGTTACCCAAATGAGAAAGCGAGTCATCCAAGCTGGTGCAGAACGACGTGGCATTTTCCAGCTTCCAGATAGTTATTTCAAAGAATTAAGAGAGAAAATATTTTAAAAAGAGATACAATTTAGACAGCTTATGGCAGCATCTCCTTAAAGGCCAGAGAGAATTAGAACAGTGAAGAGAAGTCCTACCAAACTGGACAGTCAAGTCCATTTTGTTCGCTCTCCAGACATTTTTGTTAGGAATGGTCCCACACTTATTCCCAGGGGGATGGTGATTATTTTATTTAACTGCAATTATGCATGTTTAAAACACAGGGAAGCACATCGCAGGAACTAGGCGCAGAAGAGGAAACGCAGCAACACACAATTCGGCCATTTGGTGGCATCACATTTTTAATTAAAAATATCCCAAGGAATATTGTAAAGAACACAATATCGGCAAGCACCAACATGCACCCAAAGATCCTACAGTGCTTTTGAAATATCGTCTAGGGAACTAGTCCCACGAAGAGTGGGAATATACTGGCCAGCTCTGAGGATGTAGCAGTGGTGACAGAGGAATGATCTGGTGGTTAAAACTGCGAGTCAGGAAGTTTGAGTTCTGCGACAGAGCTGCTGTATGATTTGGCGCAAGAAACCTTTCCATTCCTTAGTTGTCCTATCTATAAAAGAGAGATTCTGATACTACCTCACCAGCCGTGAATGTGAGTGGCTTAATTCACAAACACACACAAAGATCATTTGTTAGTCTCTAAGGTGCCACAAGTACTCCTTTTCTTTTTGCGGATACAAACTAACACGGCTGCTACTCTGAAAAAGAGATCAGAGAATGTTGATAAAAAGATGACATGTCTCCCCATGACAAGCACTAACATGAAACACATGGCAATGAGGTCAGATGCAGAGCATGGCTTTTGTCTCAAGTTTTTCATTTACTTTAGCATGCTCTGGAAGAGGGCAATATTTTGAGCATGCTGCAGTAAAACATGAACTCCGTGCCAGCATGCTTCAGTCTAAAAGAGGTAAGAGCAGCCAGTACACAACCTACAAAAGAACATAAGAACGGCCACACTGGGTCAGACCAAAGGTCCATCTAGCTCAGTATCCTGTCTTCCAACAGTGGCCAATGCCAGGTGCCCTAGGGCGAATGAACAGAACAGGTAATCATTGAGTGATCCATCCCCATCGCCCATTCCCAACTTCTAGCAAACAGAGGCTAGGGACACCATCCCCGCCCATCCCAGCTAATAGCTAATGGACCTATCCTCCATGAATTTATCTAGTTCTTTTTTGAACCGTGTTATAGTCTTGGCCTTCACAACATCCTCTGGCAATGAGTTCCACAGGTTGACTGTGCGTTGTGTGAAGAAATACTTCCTTTTGTTTGTTTTAAACCTGCTGCCTATTAATTTCATTGGGTGATCCCTAGTTCTTGTACCATTCCTTTGGTAATGTATCAAAGTTAAAAAGAAAACAAGTTTGAAGTCTATCAGCAGGGTAAGCATCACACAATGCAGCTGTGTGGAAGAAAGCTACAAATCCCACTGCAAAGCAGTCTGACACTCATCTGGCTTAATCAGAGGTCACTCTGTGTCAGTCCCAGGTCGGGCAAGGTTACCAGTATGGCGACCTAAACCCTGCTGAATTAGGTAGGATTCAAAGGGACACCATCAACTCAGATTTAGATATATTCAGAATCCCTGAACCACGAGACATCTTTCTATTTTGAATCTTTAGTTTTGCTCTGAAGGGTGTTTTCAGCAGGTAAACATCCAAGCAGGGGTTGTCGAGAGACAGTCTCAAACTATAGGGGCATGCTGCACCTGAGGGGCATGCTGAATCCCGGCTGCTGCCCCCTGCAGAGCCCTGGGCAGAGGCAAAGCCATGGATGAGAACACCCTCAGCCTTTGAGCAACTCCCCTCCCACCTCCGAACAACCTCCCACAAGTTCCTGTATGCATTCCTCATGTCCTTGACCCACTGAGTGGGTGGCTGAACCTTGAACATGGCTTCCACTGCAATGCCCAGAGCAGACAGGCACAGTGTGAGCAGCAAGTATCAGAATGTGCTCAGATACCATAGAAATGGGCACACAACAGGCTGGGTAAACAAGCCCTCTCAGGGCACACGATACTACACACAACTGCAGTCTGTGCAGACAGGCTGTCACATTTAACATCACATCAGCCTAGTGTAGGTAAACCACGGCCCAATCCCAGTTGACATGATGCACAGAATTTAAAGGTAGAAGGGACCATTACGATCACCTAGTCCAACTTCCTGGATAACGCAGACCGGGGAATTTCACCCAGTGATTCTTGCATCAAGCCCGTAACGTCTGGTCAAGTTGCAACATACTGATTTAATGACTCCAAGCAATGGAGGCTCCAGCACATCCCTAGATAAACTGCTCCAATGGTTAATTCCCTTGACTGCTAAAAGTCTGCAATGTTAAACACAATGTGCTTGTCTACAGAGAGTGCAAAGGGGTTAGTTACAACTCCTCAAGGCCACATTCCAGCCTGACCTAGTTTTCAATCCTCAGCCTGCAAAGGAAATTTTGTACCAAAACAAGTCAGAACTGGAGAATTACCAACCCAGTGGGAGAGCCCACACAGGAAAATTTGTTTTTCAGGGGTAGCTAGTTACACAACAAAAGGGAAAATGATTTGTACATTGACAGTCTCTATTTCCAGGACAGGCTGCGAGCTGAGGCTTTAGAACGCTAGATCTTTACATTTGTTTTTTAGGCAAAATTTGTGCTAGGAGGACAGCCCTGGACAGTGAAATTCTCTATCCACAGAGGAGGGGCAACAACATTGCAAGCTTCCCTTACCCTGACCCGCCAACCTGGATAGACCAGGGAGCTGAAGTCTCCATGCCCATTAGCGTTCATACAGAACAGAGCCACTTTCCTGATATCAAAGCAGGAGTCCGTCTACAGCTCCCACATCCCTGCTGTAAAGTTGCAGAAAATAGAGTGGCACCGACAAACTGACTAAGAGTCCTAAAACAAACCCTAAAATAACCCAAACCTGCACACACTTCCCAAGGAACAAAGAAAGGCAAACCAAGGCTGAAGAGCAGTGTGATTGGTAAAGGGTCACAAACTCTCAGGTCAGATAGTGAACAAATCATTTACATTAAAGTTAAGACTGGATTCAGGCTGCAAAAACAGCCATTCAAAACCCTACTCTCCCTCCTATCAATGCTGGAGTTATGGGATCTAACTCTGAAACACACAGTTACTAGCTAGTTACTAGCCCAAGCTACTTAATGAAAAAGGCAGCTATGTAAATCAAGGGCTGCCTCCTACAACTTGAAGTGTAGGAATTCTGGAAGCAAGGGAGAACAAAGCAGCGATTATAGGAAAAGTTATGTACACACTGAATGCATCTTTGCTTGTGCTCCCTCGGCCAAGAATGGAGTTATTCATTGTGAAATGTGCTGGTGAAGTAGATGGCAAGTGCCCAGCCAGGTAACTTTAGCAAGCACGCAGTCTTCCAGTGTTAGGATAGTGGTTTGAACACACTGGAGTGGCATGGACCTAGCAAGTGCAAGTCGACACACCTGCAGAGCCACAGACCATAAATCAGGGCATCTCTTAGAGCACTTTACACTAAGTTTCCATTTCACAACACACTTAAGCCCAATGGCAAAACTTTTCACACAGGGGTAACTTAATTGTTCACCCACAAAGTCTATATTTGAGGGACCTGACTTTCAGAGCTCCTGAGCACCTGTAGCTCCAGCTGACTTTAGGTGCTCAGCTTCAAGCAACCGAATTTCAAAACATTGGCCGATGGACATCCATTACCAATGAAATGCAGCAGAAGGAATCAGCCAGCTAGTGTAAAGAACATTTGGAAATGCATATGGAAACACATCCTGTAGAATACTCCCTCTGGGACAAGACTAAAATGCACTCTGAACAAGACTCATCTCCACTCTGGGGCAGACTAAGACAGGATCTAGGAGATGCACGTCCTACAGGCAGAGCCCACACAAGGATCAGCAGGCAGGGGGGCGGCATTTGACCCACTTCTGCTAGCTAGTGACCTGTAGGGTGGGGTGGGGTGGGCTATGTCAGGTGGTAGGGACAACAAGAATGCAGGAGTAGGAGGGAGACAAGTATGGCTGAGAGTCTGGTCAGACTGAGTAAACTGGTTTTTTTCATAACGTTAACTAACATGATTTGAAATGCCACTTAGTTTAGACACAGCTTAACATCTTCAAAATAACATTACCTGGAGCCTGTGGGGAGCCTTGCAGGGAACAGAACGTCTGCCTGGACAGACCTTGTTTCGGAGCCTAATATTTCAACAGACCGCAGCCCCATTGTGCAAACCCTGAGCCAAAGAGAGAGTGCTGTGCCTCTAAATATGCATGATGAAGAACCAAAACCAACCCATCCTTTATGGCCAAATGTGCAAGATGTTCGTGACTGTGCAACCAGTGTCCAAGATTTCCACCACCTCCCAACTCACACCAACCTCGCCAACCATAGACAAGACCTTTCCCCCTTACCTTATATTGGAAACAAGGTCCTGTAGAGCTGCTTTTATTCTGTTCTCCCCGTCAGACAAGAATCCTGTGCAATCTGGAACGAAAGACAGAGATTGCTGAGTGGTGTTGGGGTGGAGGGAAATATGCCACGTTCCCTGCTTTCAGACACAGATACTTTCACAGCTGCTCTGTGTCTTTGACTTCTGGATTCCAGGAACATCTCATGTACTTTGGGCTGCAGATCACGACTGAGCACAAAACCAAGCAACACTTATCGCTCACATCACACATTACACACATTAATCAGAACTTCTCTGAGATAATGGAGGGTTATCCTCATTTTAAAGATAAGGAAACAAACGAAGGAGTTAAGGGATTTAGAAATCTTCCAGATTACCAGGTGTATTTATGTATTGAGGGGTGAGGGACAAAACTCAAGTGATTTCTCGACTTCCACCAATCGCTTTTAAGGAAGGGCCTGGTTTCTTTAGGGCCTCAATCCTGCCAGGTACCGACCATGGTGACCCTGGTGCAGCACTTCAGAACATGTGTAGCTTTAAGCATGTGAATAGTCCCATTGGATCATGCCCCAGATGATTCCCACTATAAGCACTGGCCAAGGTTTTTTGGCACCTTACCAGGACTTCAGTTCTCTCTCATCCAAACAATGGAACCTTCAGAAGCACAAAACCACTAATGCTGGTGGGGTGCTGATAGAGAAGGAAAGGCACTATCTAATCAACCACTCGGAAGGTCTCCCACCAGATTCTCCTGTGGTCTCGTATCAGCCAGGTACTGACCAGTTTCTGAGAGATCCAATAGCGTGCTGCGGCTACATGCTGCCAACACTTTTATCCTCAAGCAAATGGACTACAATAGATGGCCTTTTGCATCAGTAAACAGAGGGTCCTTAACATGCCACGGTCCCTTGCAATAGCTGTAAGAACTATTTTTCATGGATTTAATTGGAAAATACTAATAAATGCCTTTGCCCGTTAGCCATCAATCTGTTATCAGAAATGAAAAGTCTTTACGTGATAACTATCCCAATTCCCATGTTTGATTAATAATGAATAGCAATGTCCTTTACTTATTCAAATCCAAAGCTTAGTGTTTTGCAACATCTTTGGTGATTCTGGTCCATACACTGAACAACCACCCCAAGTCCAATGCTCTTTCCATTTTAAATTTTACAGTAATCAATACCACACTAGCTTATATTTATATAAACTCACAAACACACAAACACACACACACACTCTGAAGGCAGCTCCCCGCTAGCACCAGTGCAGAAGTTAGGACAGCATGGTATGGTGTCGCCACCCTTACTTCTGCACGGCTGACTGCAGAGCTGGGCCCTCAGTCAGCAGCCGTCACTCTCTGGCTGCCCAGCTCTGAAGTCAGCACAGAAGTAAAGGCGGCAATACCATGACCCCCTAAAATAACATTGTGTGGACCTCCCACACACAACTCCCTTTTGGGTCGGGACCCCCAATTTGAGAAACGCTGGTCTTCCCCATGAAATCTGGATAGTATAGGGTAAAAGCACACGAAAGACCAGATTTCATGGTTCCTGACACATTTTTCATGGCCACAAATTTGGTAGGGCCCTAGTCATGAGTAACCGATGCTATTCGTGATTGGCACAGCCGAGGCCTCATCCTGGCAGACATCTATTCTCATCTCCCTGGAGCTATGTGCTGCAGTCAACACTGTTGTCCACCAGACACTGCTGTTTTGCCTTACAGTGGTAGCAGGGGTAACATGGGAATGTGCTAACATGGTTTGAGTCCTTCCTGGCGGGACATACCTAAGGAGTAAAGATGGGAAACGGCACCCACACCACAATCCTTTCTCCGGTCCTATTCCACATCTACATGCAGCCAGTCGGAGAACTAGTCAGACAAGATAGACTCAGCTGCCAGGAATGTGCAGGGGACACACAGTTTATTTCTCACTACACATAACCCCAGTACCCCCAGCATGGCCCAGTTGGATGAGATAAGCTCATGGATGATGAAAAACAGCTTGTTGAGGATGAATCCAACCAAGACAGAAGGGATACTGGTGGGCGAAGGAAAGCATTTTGAACAGTTTGCGGCCACTGTGTAGTCTCCTTCGGTTGAAGATACACATCCACAAATGGTCCATTCAGTGCCTCCTTTCCTGGTCTTCCGGGGGGCTTCCGCGTCGGGTGGATGCAGCGGAGCTCGAGCCTTCCGCTTGCCTCGCTTCCCCTGGACTAGGGTCCAGCCCTCCATAGCGTCATCTGGGGGCTGGTTAGCAGGGGTCGTGTCGGGGGGCGGAGGCGATGGTTTAGGGGTTCGGGGAGGTAGCGGTGAGGCAACATGAGGGGCGGGGGCTTCTCCTTGGGGAGGGCCCTCTCCTATACCTGATAATATCCTTGCCACACCCTCCTCCATGGGCTCTGTTGGGTTGGTACTAGCAAGGGTGGAACTCCCTTGCTCGCCCGGGCGTTGTAGGGAAGGTATCTCTTCGGCCCAGACGGGAGCAGCGATGGGTCGAGTAGGAGGAGGGTTGGTTTCAGGTGCTGGGCAGCCAGGGGCATCGGCAGCGATGGGGCCGATGTCCTGCCGGGTCTCGGGGGTTTCGGGTGCCCCTCCCCCCCGGGCCAAAGGGCAGTCTCTGCGGACATGCCCCGCTGAACGGCAGAGGTCGCACTGGGCCTCTCCGGTAGAATAAAAGACCCGATAGCGGGCTCCCTAGTAGGGGACTAGAAAGGACCCCTCAAGCGCCTCTTCGTCACGCGCCCCTGCCGGTGGTAGAAGCTGCACTTGCCGGCGGAACGAAAAAATGTGACGGAGGGTGGGGTCCTTGCAGCCCAACGGGAGAGGGCTGATGACAGAGACAAGTTTCCCCAGGGTGGAAAGAGCGGGTAACAGGGCAGCATTGGGTAAGAAGGGAGGAACGGAGGTAAGGACGAGGCGAATGCCCAGGTCTTCTAACGGTTCTAGGGGGACAAACACCCCCCCCACCAACAGGCCCCTCTCTACCGCCTCCTGGGCGGCATCCTCCGAGGCTAAGAAGAAAACGACCTTCCCATACATCTTGGAGGCCGCCACAATAGCCGTGGGTCCTACCACCTTCGCCAGCGCCTGCACGTATGTCTCCACGTGGCACGCCGTGCTTCCTGGTCAAGGCGGGGAAAGGGCCTCGGCCGCTGGTGATGGTGGCGGAGGCGGGGGGGGGCGAGATGACGAGGCGGCAGGCAGGGGGGAGCCCGCTGCCGCCCGGGCATATGTCCTGGGGGCCGGGGGAGGGACAATCGCAGAGCTGGTGGAGGGAAACGCAGGGAGGGACGCCACAGTTGATGACGAGGCCGCAGCGGTGGGGGCAGCCCCTGCCATGGAGGGCTCAGTGGTTTTAGCGGGGCCCTTTCCTTTCCACCCGCCCTGGCCCTTCCGGCGAACCGGGGGGGGGGGGTTTCCTAGAATCTGGGTGGGTGGTGGGTGCAGCAGCAGCAGCAGCAATCACCCTGGTGCCTCCTGCTACCGGTGCCCCAGCAGGGGGGGTGGCAAGTATCTTATCAATAGTGGCAGGGGGGGGACCTTGGGGGTCGGGCAGGGGTGGTGGTGGGGGAGGGACAACTAATTTTATTAAAGCAGTCTCGCCCCTCTCGTTCCCCGCCATTGTGAGCAGGGAGAGACAGGGAGACACCGGAAGGAGGAGGGGGGAGGGGAGAAGCAGAGTAGCCCCTCCTTCCGCTTGGCTGCGGGCGGGGAGGGGGGGAATGCCGAGGGGATTAAACTGGGGGAAGGGGGGAAAAACAAAAACGGGGTCCGGTAATAGGGGCAAGTTGTGGGATAAGCAATCCGGGGGGGGGGGGGTGCAGACCCACACACGTTTGTCCGAAGAGTCTCGGTTGGTCGGCTGTTATGTCCGGTCCGGAAGGCAAAGTTCAAAGCAAACAGCTGGATCCGAAGGGAGATGGCAGGTTGCCAGCAGGGACAGATGGCGGGGGGGCCGTGACAGTTGTAATAACGATGGGGGGGTTGGGGCACCGATGGATCGGGGTCTCAACGCCACACCCCGTGCCGCCACAAACGCAAGTAACCACAGTCAAACTCCCCCCCACGAGAGTATAATTCAGAAAATTACTCAGTCTTACGGCCCTCTTCACAATGATTTATAGCTCTCCTGAATCATTTCTTCTGTCTGCTGAAATCTTCTTCTCCGGCTGTGTTGGCTGTGTTCCAAGGCTTCCGGCACGTTAAGAATGTTGTAAAGTCCGAGCTGCTGGCAAAATGGCTGGGTCTGGGGGTTTCCACTCCCCGCTCCGGACAGCAAAATCGGCAATCTTCCCCCCCCTCCTCCGGGGGGCTCAGCTGAGGCAAGTAGCTGCGCCCGAAAGCAGGCATGGGGGGGGGGGTGCTGGCGAAGGACGTAAACGGGAAAAAAAAAAAGAATCAAGAAAAAACAAAAAAAGCGTCTGGCCCGGTCGGGGGGGGACTAAGGCAGGTGCAAAAAGTGAGAAAAATCCGGGCCAGGGGGCTTTAGGAAAGAATAGAAAGCAGATAGCTGAGGAGCAAGCAAAAGACGTTCCGTTTCCCAACAGGGAAGGTTCCAGAACAATCAGGAACCTTCTGGACGACAATTAAGACAGGCTGATTAGAACACCTGCAGCCAATCAAGAAGCTGCTAGAATCAATTAAGGCAGGCTAATCAGGGCACCTGGGTTTTAAATAGGAGCTCACTTCAGTTTGTGGTGTGCGTGTGAGGAGCTGGAAGCAAGAGGCACTAGGAGCTGAGAGTGAGAATGCGGACTGTTGGAGGACTGAGGTGTACAAGCATTATCAGACACCAGGAGGAAGGTCCTATGGTGAGGATAAAGAAGGTGTTGGGAGGAGGCCATGGGGAAGTAGCCCAGGGAGTTGTAGCTGTCACACAGCTGTTCCAGGAGGGACTCTAGACAGCTGCTTTCCACAGGGCCCTGGGCTGGAACCCGGAGTAGAGGGGGGCCCGGGTTCCCCCCAAATCCTTCCAACTCCTGGTCAGACACAGGAGGAGTCGACCTGGACTGTGGGTTCAGAAAAACGGCCAAGCTGTGGGCTATCGTGAAGCTCCAAGGCGAGC